TAGTCTTGTGTCTCCTGGTACCTGCCTGTGTGCTTGGGACACCAGTGTGCCATGAGCTAAGTCATTTGGGCAAGAAACTGTCCTTGCCTCGACTGCTGACAATCTGTGTCCAAACTACACCAGCAGGACACAAAGAAATAGGACTGCCAAACTTTGCCAAGACAGAGTAGGACAGTCCCTCAAAAATTCCTGGTTCACAGAAAAGTCTGGCAGATACTCTAGGCCTGTAGGCTAAAGATGGATGCCTCTACATTGCAGAGGTTCCTTGGGTGAATCTCCAAGCATCCAGTTGTTTCTGTCATTTCCTTTAGTTTTGGAAGTTGTTTGCTCTGTACTTCCTGTTTACTCAGATAATGTTATAGCCTTTTTGGTCTTTGATGGGGTTAAAGACTAGATTCATAGTTATAGTTTTCCTTAGTTATAATAAAAGGAAAGTTAGTACAGAGCTTTGGACTCATCAAGATAGGATAAATAATGAAGTATTTTCTCCAAATATGTCAAATAAAAATGGACTGGATATTGTAACTGTAATTTTTACCTGATAATTGTTCTTATTGTTTATACTTTTATACATTAGAGTTAAAACCTTTCCTTTTTATTTAGACAAAATGGGAAATGTGGAATAATCTTTTTGTACATTGTAAAGATTTGTCACTTGGGTTAGTTTAATAAAAAGCTAAAAAGCCAATAATGGCTAGGCAGGATTTTCATGGAGAGGATGCTGGAAAGAAGAAGGGCAGAGATGTAAATAGTTGCCAGCCAGATGGAGAAGCAACATGGGAATTACGGAATATAGGTAATAAAGACACAAGGCAGAAAGTAAATTAGTAGGAATGGGTCAATTTAAGTTGAAGAGCTAATTAGAAACAAGCCTAAGCTATAATTAATAATTAATAAGAATTCTCCATATTGTTATTTGGGAGCTGGCTGATGGGACAGAAAAATCCATCCATGGGCCTTGTCCTTAGGACAGCTCAGGTAAAAAACAATTTTCCAAATAACCAATGCTCTCTGGTAGTTTTAATCACCAAATACAGATTGCAGGTTGATCTCTGAGTTAGAGGCCTGCCTGGTCTACAGTGTGCTTTTCAGGACAGTCAAGGCTACACAGAGGAAACCTGTTTGAAAAAACAAACAAACTAAAACAAAAATTTTAAATAGTAATAAAAATGTAGAAGGCTTAAGGCAAATAGCAATCTGCCAGAGCACTGAGGAAGTTTGGTAGACCTAGATCATATACTTTGCGTTTAAGTCATTATTCTATGAAGCTAGTTTTTAATATCCATTTCCACATTACTGATCGAAAGGATTTTTATTTTAGGAATCCTTAAAAGTCTTCCAGGGCTGTATTCAGGTCAGTAATCCATCCTGAACTACAGCTCTATGCTATTCCATTCAGTTCTCCAAGAACTTACTACATGCCTAGATGCTACATGCTGTGGCAGGGTCAAAATGATGACAATAAACCCCGACTGCAGGGACCAGTGGGCTGGACTAATAGGATATATGATAGAGATGCAGCAGTTCAAACAAAATAACCAAGAGACAGGCAAAGTCCTGAAAGTGCTCCAAAGGAGGCAATATGTCAGTGCATTCATTTCTGGGGAAGTATTGCTTGAAATAAGCCAGTAAGAGAAAGCAGAATGTGTTTGGAGGGAGATAAGATTAATGAAAAAAAAAATAAGAAGAACAAGAGAGATGGCAAGATGGTAGGAACATGTGGTTCTCACTCAGGGAACATTTGGCGAGAATTCAAGAATACGGAAGGTGATGGGTGGGGCAGTGGCTCAGGCCTTAAGGTCATGGTCTTCAGAACAAGTGGAAAACAAACTGAAATCTTTAAATCGCAAGATCACAGCTGTAGGTCAATCCATTTATCCTTAAAAACAGTGTTTCTGTAATAGGAGATAACATTTAGAAAGAAAAAAATGTACATGTTTGCTACATCTCTGTAGGGGCCTGTTGGATTCTTGTAGAGAAGAAACTTATAGCATGTTGCATTTCTAATTCCATTCAAGCACATGCTCAAGGATGAGAACTAGGCTTTGGTAATATTCATTTCTTAATATATAGATAACTTATAAATGATATGATTACAACGATTAAAACCATGTTTCTTATATAATACTAGTTCTAAGCCTCCATGTAGACATCCATGAAAGAAAATCCTACTGTAGAGCACATTTCTTGTTGCAAAACAAACTTATGCAAACTCAAGCTATAAAAATCTTTTTCAATTTCATATGTCAAACATTTTATGAAAATTTATGAGTCATTGCTAAAGAAAATTAACATGCTGGTCCAATAATCTGACCCCCTGTGTCCTAATATTTTGTTGTATAGACCAGTGCTAACAGCAACTTTAGCCTTGTAAGTCAACAGGATAACTCATAACAAATGCTCCAAATTAGTAATATCATCAGATAAATTGGCTGAATCCACTGGAAATAAAACACAAAAATAGCCAAACAGAGAAAAAACAGCTAAAATACAAGTAAATGACAGATTAAACATGAACTACATGTCCCTAGAACACAGACTTATTACAAACAGGAATAGAAGAAATTAGTGGTTTCTCTGCCCTCTGGTGGCAGTAAAATCAACCACAGTGTTAGAGAACTAAAAAAGCGTAATAAAAGTCCCTGTTATGAAATCAGATGTTTTTCCTTCGCCAAAATGCCCGTAATAAAAACCCTGACTGCTGCATGCCAACTTTTAACTTCTGAATTATTGTCTGGATATTTAGCTTTCAGACCAGTCATCTTGCATTGGAGAGTAGATTGCTTTTCTTCTGTGACACCTTTCCCTGTGTTATATATTCAGTAAGCTAAAACCACTTAATTCCAAGGTGATTTCATAAAAGTCTATGTAGAATGTTGTTCAGCTATTTCAGCTTGTAGTAAAGACTCTAAAGGCTTGACAAAATAGTTAATCTCTCCATCCCAGTCCTATGAGCACAAAGTTTCTAAGAGTTCCACAAGAAATAGTGAATTCCTACAAAATGCTGGCATATTTTTCTTGTAAGTGTAGGTATGTCATACTCCCCAAAGCCAAAGCTTTCCATAAGCTGGTCAGTCTTAAAGTGCAATGAATTTCACTCTCCGCGAAGCCTTAGAATACCAAATTTAACATGGATATCAGTGATTTCTACCCCCATTAATACAAAGTAAAAATTGCTGGTCTTTTTTTTTTTAAATTTATTTTTTGCTGTAAATGCATTATTCACTTTCAGTGCCAAAGAAGTTTTTAAACAAACAACTTGGGATGCTTTTTTTGGCAAACACGCGCACGCGCGCGCGCGCGCGCGCACACACACACACACACACACACCTCTTTCTTACACACACACATACCCTTTTGCAAAATTGATTTACATATTCATTTATTCCAAATATGCTCATGGAGCTGACTACTGCATCTTCTAAAATGCTGCATTCTGAAGAAGTAAAGGTATTGCTATTTTTTCAACTAATGAAATGCACCAAGAAAATACACAGAAGTATAGTGCACTGACATAAGTCATAAATGGCTAAGGACTTATTATGTCCATTGATGAGGACCATCCTAGGTGACGAAGAAAAATCCAGGGAGTCTTCATTTTTATCTCAGCTTTTATCTTGTTGTCCTCATGGTTCCTCCTCTGCTCCCGAACACACACACACACACACACACACACACACACACACACACACACACACACACACACCTTTCCAACCTTAAATAAGAGCACCGAGAAAGTATCCACTTTCTCTGTTAAAATTTACTCTAGCGGTAGACACACGGCTTGGGCCATCCGATGTGTTTCAAGGTGGTAAAATTTTATTCAAGGTTTTGGTAAACACTTATCCTCACCTGGAATCCCCAGGTTTCCCTTCAAGACTTCTTTCTGTGACTCATTCAAGGTTGACAGCTGGGTACCTATGCATCCTTTCTAAGGAACCATTTACCACTCTCTCAAATTAAACACCGACATACAAAGCAAGACAGAACAAAAGTGATTGTTCTAACTAGGAAGTTTTCCTTTCTTTTTCTCTTCAAGTGCCTTTTGCTCTCACCAATTCTGGGAGTCTACAGGACTTCAGGGATTCCTGCCCCGGGTGTTTCACTACCCACTGGTTTCTGTAGTGACGGGCAGAAATAGGGAGCAAGCTGTAGAGTAGCAGTGGACAGGGTGGTCTGGGGAAGACAGCCAGGCTAGCCAGTCCCAGCTCATTCTGAAGACGCCGTTCATTGCTACACACCTAGCTAGAGAGGCCACCAGGGCAAGGTTTGCGGCCAGTTGAGAGGATTTGGAGGCCCTGCCTCCTCCCGGGTCAGTGGCAAGGAACCCTAAGGAACCGCTGGCACGTTTGGGCCTGTCTGTGAAGCTGAGAGGCAGAGGACAATGGGGCCAGGGCTGGTCCTCAGAGGCACGCCCGCCCTTATCTTGTCCACCTCCTCTCCATCCCTAAACCCTGCCGCACCTACAACACCCCACTTCGTAACCCTACACCCTACACCGAGATAGGTAGTGGGGATAGCCTGAAGGAAGGGTCTGCGGCAACAAGGCATTTTCTATTGGCAGGGGGAGACCTGCCTTCTCTGGCTGTCATCATATCCCCCATCATCCCTTCCGCGGCCGGCGTAGAGGCTCAGTTTTGCCAGACTTCAAGAAAAGAGAAGCCAGAAAGGAGAGAAATGATAGGAACAAGCTTCAGGGCGAGGTATCCACCACAGCTGGCTCTTACACTGGGGCTTCCCTGGGCTACTTGGGGCAGACAGGACCACCCCCTGGCGCCCAGGTGGAGTAAGCACCATAACCTCAGAGAAGTCCTGGTCTCCAACACCTTCTCCTGGTCAACCCTCTTCCTCCTTTTGGGAAACTCATTTCCCAGAAAAACAACTAGGATAAGTTTCCCAAGGGCAATGCAATTGGTGGGTGTTGGTTGGGAATAGGGGTACCGGGGCACCGGAAGGATCTTCAGCTGCACACAAAAACAATCGAGTAAAGTGCTTCTTACCAGTGATTTGGTTTCCAGGCTCCGCGTGGGCGAACTGGAATCGGTTGGTTAAGAAGTGACAAAGTAACATAACTCCTGCTGCGGCCAGGTCGGCCCTTGTGAACCTCGCCATGCCGCTGCCTCGACCTCCCTCCCCTGCCCCGCGAGTTTTCCTTGCCGCCCTGGGCTCCGGGGCTCTCCGTGGGGATGGGGCGAACGGCCGAGCTCTGAGGGTGGGTGTCGGGTGGGATCCTCAGGCCTTGGTCAGTTTCAATAGGCTTTCACTCCCAGTAGCAGAGAACAGCGACGAGCGAAGGAGGGGCAGCCCAGCCCTCTCCGAACTTCGGGGGCTCTCTTCTCAACTTGCCACCCTCGCAGTCCTCAGCCGACACAGTACCAGCAAGTGTGGGGAGGAAAGGTCACTTGCAGCCGGGCTGGCAAACTCCCGGGTTCTCGCAAGCAGCGCCACCCGGGCTCCAGGGGACGGTGACTTCCGAGCGCCCGCGACGCGCTCCACTGGGTTCAAAACAGATCTAATTCCACAGCCAGCACCGGTGCCGTGCAGATCCAAGAGGGCGCTGAGCACCGGAGGAACTTTCCCAGACTTAGGGCTGGCCCCGGCGGGTTGTTGGGGTTCGCGGGAGAAGGGGGGGGGGAATTAGTGGAGGCTGGAGAAACCCCTCCGACAAGTTTTTCTTCTTTGCTTTGCCCAACGCTGGGCGCGCGTCCTCACGGGCAGCCGGAGGGATGGGCAGCCCCGGAGAGAAGAGTCCGGGAAGGTCCGGGCTGCGGTGATCAGAAGAGAGAAAGAGAAAGAGGAGACAAATGTGCTTTTTTAAAGAAAAAGAAAGACGAGGAAAAAGTAAAGCTGCAGCCTGGTGAGAGGGTTAGGGAGGAGATGGCTCCGAACACCGCGGAGCCCCAGGAGTTTGGTGGCAGAGGCGCCGCCGCGCTCCCCCGCGCTCCTGCTCTACACTTTGGGGAGGGAAGGAGGCTTGCCATTTGCCAGATCCGCCGCGGATCCCTCCTCCCTCTTCCCTCCTCCCTCCGCCCTCCCCCCCTGGTTCCTCCAGGCTTCTCCCACCTTCCTCCTCCCGAAACCAGCAGCCCGCACCGACCTGTCCAATGGCTGAGCTTTTCTTGGGGGCGCCAGAAAAGTCTCCCACAGAGGAAGCCCAGGAAGACTGGCTGGGGGGAGCCCGAGGGCCACTGCGGCCCCAGGAGCCGCCGGGATCGCAGAGGACGGGTACGCGGGGCGGTGGCAGATCCTGATCGCCTGGACGCCATCAGCCCGCCCTGCTCGCGTCCTCTGTAGCAGGGTCAACGCCGCCTGCACCCACCAGGCTCCCCGGGCTTCTGGGGCCAGCCTCCGGTTGGGGGATGAGGCCCCAGAGGGTGCCCACAATCTCCTGGGTTCGACCTGGGCGCTAAAGGGTTAATAACATTTTATCCCTATCCGAGGGCTGGTCTGGCAACCGTTGGGGTGTGAAAAAAAAAAAAAAAATCAAACCTGAATCGCTTTGGTTACTAACATTCACCCCCTCCACCCCCATCCCAGTAAAAACCACTCCTACCCCAGACCCGCGCAGAGGGTGGTGGAAGGTGGCTCTGGGCTGCAGGGTCCAGCGGCTGCCACTGCAGTTTGGTAAAGTGTCCGCCTGAGCGAAAGCGAGAGTTTAAAGGAACAGGAGGCCCATTGAATTTCCTATGGGGGCTTTAAAGGGCTTTCACTCGGCCACTTTGTTTTTGTTTTTTCAGCTTGGGGGATCTGCTTCGGTGTTAACCCCTTCCAGCCCTCTCATCAGCTTACATTTTATTTTGCACACAGTTAACATAGCATCATTGGTGAAAAGAACATGCTCTACACCACTCCCTGTGCTAGTATTTCGGTTTTCCCACCAGGAGCAATTTGCTTAAGCTTTAAGCCCCAGGTCTCCTGGCATCACATCAGGAGAATTCTATCCTGAAGCTCATAGAAGGTCAAAATTAGCCAAGTGGAGTTAATTTTTGTTTAATCCTCTCCTAGCTTGAAGAACAGAGGTGTTTCCTGAAGACAATAGGAGAGCTAAATTAACACTCTTGAAAGTGGTCCCGGATGAATCTAGCCTTGTAGCCGGTTCTTGTCTTTGCCTTTCCATGCTCTGAAGACTCATGGATGTCATGGATAGATTCCTCAACTTGTCACAAAACCTACTGGAAGTGGGCTGAGATCATTGCAAAATTTGATACAGAGAGTTTGCCTTTCCCCTGAGAAACATAAGCAAATATGTTTTCCCTAAAATAAGACTCATTTCTCCATTACAGAATAACATATACTTGTGAATGTTTAAGTATGCCACGCCTACACCTTTTGTTACCCCAAGATGCTTGACAAATCATGAGCTTTCTCCTGAGTGGGCTGATGTCGCCCCTGCCAACCACACTTAGGAGCTTATAATTCTCTTATTTCTGCTCTACCAAGAGTGTTTGAGTTCTAGATTACATCTCAGTCTGAGTACCTAGAATATTTACATGAAGTTTAAAAGTGTAGTCTTCTAATGGAAAATTCATTGGGCATTAATTGATGTTGATTTTGCTTCCTGCACTTGGAACAGCTGATACTTTCCACCTTGACCACCGACACCAAAAATCCAGGCCAACAGCTAGGACAGAAACCCAGAGAGAAAGTTTCCTCAACCCTTTGCACAACTCCACGTCTCATAATGTCCACAGCTGTAGGCAACCCAGCAAGATCAGAAAGGGTTAGGTCTTGGGTCACAATACAAAAAAACAAACCAAACAAACAAAGATGGGTTTCCTCCTTCTCTGGAAAAAAAAAAAAGCTTTTGTCTCTATCATTTTCATTCTTTTATCTCTTATTGCTTCTGCAAAATGGTAGTATTTATTTTTCTTATTCTTTGCTGTCCTTGGCCATGCTTTGCCCTCTTGATGGCAGCTATAAATAAACACTTACCGGTTAAAACTGTTTGCTACAAACCGAAAGGAATCAAATGTCAGTTTAAAAATAATTCAATTAATTTGAATCTGTTGGTCTCTATTGGGTATGCTGTTTACTCACAATGCTTTATTCCTGTCTGAATCTTATTTTGCAAAGTTGCACATATCTATGTCCACCTCCAGTAGGTTTGTGACCCGCTGAGTCTATTGATATGATAGCATCCATGACATCTTCAGAGCATGGAATCACTTGAGTAAGAACCAGCTGGTGAACCTTGAATGCAATAAAAAAAAAATGTTACCCAGTTTAGTTCTCCCTTAACCAACAGCTAGAGAAGAATTTCCAAAATGAGTAAGACATTAGCATCCGTGATGATATTCTGCTAGGAACTAAATCAAAAGGGAGACCGTTGTAATATATCTAGGTTGTGGTACTTTACTTTAAATCTCTATCAAAAATTATTTGTAAAAAAATGTACTTTGCCTTCACATTGTAGCAATATCAAATGAAGAAAATACATGTCACACAATAATTTGGGGGTGGAATGGCAAGAGCTAACTCCACATATACTTCTGGCTAATTAAAGGAGATATACTGTTTGTCCTTGGTTGTTGGATCTGCCCTAAATGTTTCACCACTGTACAAGTGTGAGTTTCACTTTTTGGTGACCAACTAAGAAACAAACTTTTCCTTTGTAGGAAAAGTTTCATTATCTTCCACAGACATGAGAGGTGTTGTAATATTGAAGCTTGTTTCTAACCACTAAAGTTACAAAGAAGACAGCCATCTCTTACCCATTGGGTTACTTGAAGCTAATTTCCCAAGGGACAGAAAAATTAGAAAGTACAAATGATTAGTCCTTGTTTTTGTATAAGGCTCAGACCTAGAATCCACAGGTCACTTTCTCCTTGAAGATGATACATTGGCATCATTAACCACATAGAACTTTGACTAGACACCAGATAGAACTGAGATATCATCTCTCCAGATTTCAAACCTTTGAAAACACCTTATCTCCATTAACCTTCAGGGATTGTTTATTTTGTTTTCGTTTTTAGAAAGGTTTTCTTGCAGCTGACCATGAATTCCCTATGTAGCTGAGAATGGCCTTGAACTTATGATCCAACTGCTTCTGTCTCCAGAGTACCCGCAGGCTTATATGGTTGTATAGATAAAGTCTAGGACTTGGTGCACACAATGCAAAGCATCCCATCAACTGAGCTACATCCTTAGCCCTGAAACATTTATATATATATATATATATGTGTGTGTGTGTGTGTGTGTGTGTGTGTGTGTGTGTGTGTATGTGTGTGTGTTATAGTTACAGTATGTGTATGTATACATATAGTTATAGTTACAGTTATGATCAGACTATATCTGAATAAGGACACTTTCAGTTAATCTCCTATCCTTTCCCCAATTCTACCTTTTTTCTCTAAGAGCTGTCCTAAGTTGAAATTTGGCTGAAAGAATCCCTAAGGAAACATCATACACATATGTGTATGTGTAAAAACAAAACTTGAGATGCAGTATAGGCTAAGGACTATCCGCATTTATTGCACTCCTTAAAACCATTCTCAGGAAATAATTTGTGTCCATTTAACATTATTTGTTGAAAGGTCCTACAATTGCCTTCTGATGAAGGGACACAGCTAGCGAGTATTTATGCAGTCTTATGCTATGACCTCCCCTTAGGTCAGTGGCATTTCCTCTTCCTCCTACTTGATAGGGCCAATTTTCTGACCTCTGCTCCCCAATTACAAGACTCATGTGTTCATCTTGGCTGACCTGCTCTCAAAGTCAACTTGACTTTTATTGTACAGTTTGGTGGTGTTTCAGCTTTCTGTTTTTTTATAGTTTTAAGCAGTAAATTTTATTAATGGAGCGTTTTAAATTCAACAAGCATATAAAAATTTACCTAGAAGCTGAAACTTACTCTTTGTTGATAGAACATTTACCATACCAGAATACTCACCACATGCCAAGCCTTATTTATATACATGTTACCTTTACTATTTAGATGAAATTAACAACATACTTATATTTAGCACATATTTGTGAAATAATATATTAACATAGCATACATTTATAGCTTTCTGAATCTTAAAAATTTAAGATTTATTGGCCAATAAGTAGCAGTATACAAAATGAGCAACTTAAATAGCAATAAGGAAATGAACAAAATGGAATAGTCCACTGTTTGAAGGTGTAGGGTGAGAAATAGTACAAAATGGAAACATATACCTTATTTAAAATTATTAGAATCAAAGATGAAATAGTGATTGCATTTTTGGAAAAAAAAATGCCTGTCAAATACTTAGTGAGTTATGAAATGAACTAACCATGTTACAGAGTTATGCATAGTGCATAAATAACAACAGTGAGAGGGGCCAACAAGTTCACTGTTATCCAGTTGTCTGGATTTTTCTGAACTAATGACAAATATCTGCAGTATGGGAAACTTGTTTCTTGAGTGTTAACCTCATGAGAAGCTGCACTCCTACAGAAGCCCTAATGGAAGTCTCAGCTGCCACTACATGTCACAGGGCCCTAGTGTGCTCTGAGTCACAGAAGCAGAGTCTCTGACAGAACTCAGCCCTGTGGCTCACCCTGTATTTCTTTTCTCATTTTTATTTCCTTTCTTCCAATTTTTATTTTCACTTTCATGTCTATGAATTTTTAAGGCCTAATTCACATAGCTTAAGAATTATCCTCTTTAAAATACATAAATCAGTGGGTTTTAACTTATTCCAAGGTTGTAGAACCAAAACTATCATCTAATTCCAGATGGTTTTCATCACCCAGTGCCCATTAATAGTCAATTGCATTCTCCTCCCCCCAAACCCAGCCCTAGAGAACACTAGTCTACTGTCTCTGGGGTGTTGTGGACAGATGTCTGGGGACAATTCTGTGAACAGAACCATCTATGAACTTTTGTATAGGAATTCTTCCACTTAGCATAATGTTTTCATGGTTCAGCTACATGTGGTATGCATGTATCTGAGTTTATTGCTTTTGATTTCAAAATAGTATTCC